CTATCCATCTATCTATCTATCTATCTATCTATCTATCTATCTATCTATCTATCCTATCTATCTATCTATCTATCTATCTATCTATCCTATCTCATCTATCTATCTATCTATCTATCTCTATCTATCATCTCTATCTATCACCATCTATCATCTATCTATCTCATCCATCTATCTATCTATCTATCTATCTATCTATCTATCATCTATCATCCATCTATCTATCCTATCTATCTATCTATCTATCTATCTATCTATCTATCTATCTATCTATCTATCTATCTATCTATCTTTGAGTTTGTCTGTATTTTATTTTCATTTCTATTTTACTGAACATTGATGGTAGATAGATAGATAGATAGAGAGAGAGAGAGAGAGAGAGAGAGAGAGAGAGAGAGAGAGAAGAACAACACACACACACACACACACACATACCATCTATCTCACTTAAGTCATCACAAGAGTAAGAAAAAATGAGATTGAAACAGAGAGAGAAAGGGAGAGAGAGAGGGTGAGAGAAAAAATGGAAGAGGAAAAGTGAGAGAAAAAGGGTGGTAGTGAAGGTAAACTGTAAACCTGGATTTTGTTTATATCTGTGTGTGTTGCTTCTTTCTTTCTTTCATTCTTTCTTTCTTTTGTTTGTTTACTGGTTGGTTTTTGTTGGTTCTCTCTCTCTCTCTCTCTCTCTCTCTCTCTCTCTCCTCTCTGATTCTCTTCACCAATGTACACAAAAATCCTCAATTCCTTTACCTCTCTCCCTCTACTCACGTTCCCCTCTGCTCTCAACCTCAGAACAGACAGACAGACAGACAGACAGACAGGCAGACAGACAGACAGACAGACAGACACATCCGCCTCCCCCTGTATATTTTATCTCTTTATGATTCCACCAATGACAAAACAGATAGATAAATTCCTTCCTTTTACCTCTCTCTCTCTTCTCTCTCTCTCTCTCTCTCCTCTCTCTCTCTCTCTCTCCTCTCTCTCTCTCTCTCTCTCTCTCTCTCTCTCTCTCTTTACGTTAGTTTTTATTATTATTTTTGTTTTGGTTTTCTCAAAGGGTGATTAATGGCCTCGTGGATAAAGTGAAAAATAATACCAGCGTTATTTTGTGTTTTGTTGTGGTGACGAAATGGAAAACATAGATAGAAAAAGAAAGAGAAGAATGAAAGAAAGAAAGAAAGAAATGAAAGAATCTGGAAGTTATAAAGATAATTCTCTGCGTTGTAGGGGAGGTGTGAGAAGGTCGTATAGGTCTCGTGATCTCAGGCCATCAGCATCTTCCTGAGGCTTTAATAGACTCGTGTGAGAGTCTCATTCTCCTGATCACTTAACCTAACCTAACCTCACCACACGATTTCTGTTCTCTCTCTCTCTCTCTCTCTCTCTCTCTCTCTCTCTCTCTCTCTCTCTCTCTCTCTCTCTCTTTCTCGCCTCCTTCACGTACCTCTTTCTGTTCCGTGTTACTTCGTGTTTCGTGCCATTAGATTAGCTTGTGTTCCGTGTCATAATAACATTCCATTCTACCCCGTGTTACTTCGTGTTCCGTGTATAGCATTATGTGTTCCGTGCCATAATAATACTATCCTGTTCCGTGCTACACTTCAGTTACACCTCCCTCTAAGATCGAACCAGGGACCTTAAACACAGGAAACAAGTTCTGTATCCGCTCATCCACCGCATAATATTGTTTTTTTACAATAGTTCACCTGTTTTTTCCTTTTTCATCTCATCGATCATACAAAGTGAGATGCAGTTTTTATTACAGGTGTATGACAGGTGAATTGGATACCTCCTTTTGAAGATTCGATTTACTTTGTTGAATAATCCTTTGACGTGTGTTAAGACCAGGCGAATGATGGCTTCTCTTATTTTATTTCTCTCTAGTTCTCTTCTCTTCTTCTCTTTCTCTCTATTGGATTGTTCCTTGATTATATTTTACGTGGAGATTAAAGGGAATTGTATCTTACAGAATTCCTTTCATCGTCCCCTCTGTCTGTGTGTGTGTGTGTGTGTGTGTGTGTGTGTGTGTGTGTTTTCCTTGCGTTCCCTTCGTATCTGTTTCTGTCGCTTTTTCGTCTGTCTGTCTGCTGCCTGTCTGTCTGTCCTGTCTGTCTGTCTGTCTGTGTTGTACGCCCCCTCTCTCTCTCTCTCTCTCTCTCTCTCTCTCACCTGTGTGCTCAGACCCTACCTGAGCCTCACCTCTTCCATCACACAGGTATAAATGTCCCGGATCAGGAGTCAAGTACCGGCACTAACTGTTTCTTATATCGATATTTAATAACTCACCATACACACCACACACACACACACACACATACACACACACACACACACACACCACACCTTTACTCTCCTCCCGACAGGTGTTATTAGGTGGTTAAGTTAAGTTCATACTCATTAATCTTACCTGTTCTTCCACCCCCTTCCTTTATCTCTTAATGTTATTCCGTTCTTCCCTCTTCCTATACACATCTCTTGTTTGATTTTTTTGTGTATCCTTAATCTCTCATTTATTCCCCATTATGTCTGTATTTTCATTCTTTTAGGTGTGTGTGTGTGTGTGTGTGTGTGTGTGTGTGTGTGTGTGTGTGTGTGTGTGTGGCGTCTTGTGCGCCACCTCCCTCTGTTGGCCTTCCTGCCCTTTGAATTATTTATGTGTTTCTCGCCTTCTTCCTTCTCCTTCCCCTTCTTCTCCTTCTCTCAATCTCTGTTCTCTCACTCTTCATTCATTGTCTCTTCACTCCCCTTCCTTATTTTTTTCTTTAATCTTCGCTATTTCCATGATTTCTCCTTGCTTCCTCCTCCTCCCTCTTCCTCCTCATTCTTCGTTGTTCCAAGTCCACTTTTCTAACCTTGTCTTCCCATTCTCTCACCACCAACCATCACCTCCTCCTCCTCCCCTCTTCCTCCTGCTCCTCCCCTCTTGCTCCTCCCCCTCTTGCTCCTCCCCCCTCTTCCCTCTCCTCCCTCCCCTCCTCCTCCCCTCTTACCATCTTCCAGAACAATCTGTAAGTTCCACGAGTCTTAAATGACCGACATATCATCTTCCCTTCTCCTCTGCCGTCTCCTCCACCCTCTCCTTCTCCACTGTAAAAAATCCGCACACTATCTTCTCACCCTATTCGGCAACACCCCACCCTACCCACCCTCACCCCACCCTCACCCCACCCCTCACCCACCCTCACCCACCCTCCACCCACTCTCAACCATCAAATTACATCTCTCTTAATACACCACCAACACTTCACCTCTTGTCTCTGTACCTATTTCACCCACAGATCTCTCTCTACACACACACACACACACACACACACACACACACACACACACACACACACACACGCACACACAGGTTCAGTCAGGCATAAGACGCTCGCATCCTGACAGTACATTAAAAAGCTCCATCTTAGTGTGTGTGTGTGTGTCAGTATTATATGTATTATTATGTTGTTCCTAGAAAGACCTCAGAGTGTTTTCCTTTCTGAGTGATGTCTGCAAATGGCTGCCTGGTGATGAGTAGGAGAGATGTTTTTTATTATTTCTATTTATTTATTTATTTATTTATTTATTTATTTATTTATTTATTTATTTATTTATTTATTTATTTATCTATTTACTTATTTTATTTATTTATTTATTTATATATTTATTTATTTTATTTTTGTGACTTTTAACGATATTTGCCATCACGAATTAGGTTAGGTTAGGTTAGGGTTTGGTTAGGTTAGGTTGGTTTTGGTTAGGTTAGGTTAGGTTTGGTTGGGTTAGGTTTAGGTTAGGTGGGATTAGGTTAGGTTTGGTTTTGGTTAGGTTGGGTTGGGTTAGGTTAGGTTAGGTTTGGTTAGGTTAGGTAGGTTTTGGTTTGGGTGAGGCCAACATTTCCACAATCCTCTTCACCTCCTCTCTCTCTCACTATCTGGAAATATTACCTCAATTAAATTTTTACTACCTTGATAAAATCCTTGTAATCCACCGAGAGAATTTCCTCCTCATTTTCCTTCCATTACCGTACGTCTAAATTCCTCCACACCTTCATAACACTACTTTTGGTTAGGTTAGGTTCTCTTAGCTTAAGAAATTTATCTCATTAAAGTCATTCCTTCGTCTCTCTCTCTCTCTCTCTCTCTCTCTCTCTCTCTCTCTCTCTCTCTCTCTCTCTGTAGTCATTGTCCACTTGTCGGGAGGTCAAAGGCTATTATACTCTCTCCTCTGTTAGGCTTGTTTACATATGACGTCACAAAACAGAGTCGAGTCACGTTTAGCAACTATTGACTTAAAACTTCTGAGTATTGAGTCCTAGTCATTGGAAGAACACACACACACACACACACACACACACACACACACACACACACACACACACAGGTTCTCTAAAACAACATCGTGTTAACTCTGGACGACCTTATGACCTTCTATAAGACCCTGCCAATGCTGTGGGTCTCAAATTCTCGAGTGTTGTCAACAAGACTGAGAGCATACACCACCATCACTCGCACCATCACCACCATCACCACCAACATCACCCTCACCACCACCACCATCACCAACACCATCATCACCATCATTACCCTCCACTACTACCACCACTACTACCACCACCACCACCACCACCACTCCTCACATCTTGACTTCAGATGCACCTGAAGCTCTCCATGCATTAGGACGTGAAGGTATCAGAGTCTTTACTCAACATTCATCAAATACGTTTCATAAATCAGAGGAACGGCGCTTCACCTCGAGGGTAAGGTACAGAGCGATACTGCTTCAGTGTGTTAAGTGGCAAACGAACTCAACTTCCTATGAGGATGTCTGAGAATTCTTGCGGTAAGAATATTTTACTCCTGGTGTGGTTGTGGGCTGCCGGCCAGACTCCAACTTAAATTAGATGGTGTAAAAGTGAGTAAGTGTGTGTGTTAGTAGAGGACTGTTTCTTAAAGGGTGACTCGCCATCTTGTAATACCCAGAACACTCACTAACTCTCCTCCATTTTTGTCTCACAG